TTCTTCAGCTCATCCATCCGTCCCTCACACCCACAGTAAGGCAGGCCAACCGTAATAGTGCTGTTCCCAAACTGCTTTGGGGATAAATGAGAAAATGGCCAGGAAGCGTTCAGCCTGGTGCCTGGCTGATAGCCTTCAGTTAGCAGGGGTGGTTAGAACTGTCTAGAGAGCCTGAAAGATTTGACTTGCCAAGCTTACTAACAGTCGTTTTGTATTGCTGCTATAACAAATGACTACAAATTGCAGCTAAAAACAATACAACTTTTGGAGTCATCTAGTGGCATGGTGATTAAGGTGCTAGATCCCACATGGTCAACTGTGTAGTTTGAGTCCCAGACTTGGGGGCTTGAAAAACATGCCAGGGCGTATGCATGTGTGCCCTAAGTCCTGAGAAGAGAATGGAAGAGAAGGGATTGCAGTGTGGCCATCCCCAACAGGGGATGCTCTCTCACTTCCTCTCTCTTTCTTCCCCTCTCTCCAGTGAGTGCATGTCCCCTACAGCAAACAAAACTAAAGACCAAATTTTTTACCTCCTGACTTAGGTAATTCAAGAGTCCAACAAGGGTCTTACTGAGCTAAGATCAAGGTGTTAGCCAGGTTGCATTCCTTCCTAGATGTCCTGGGGAGATGCTTTTTTTCAGCTTCTAGATCTATCATTATTATTCTTTGGCTCAGATTCCCCACTCTCATCTTTTTTTCATTTTTTATTTTTCCAAATGAGATAAATATATTTCTCAAAGTTCTGGAGACTGGGAATCCAAGATCAAGGTGTCAGCAGATTTGGCTTCCCTAGGCACTCTGTCCTTGGCTTGCAGAAGACAACCTTCTCTGTGTCTTCACAAAGTCTTCTTTTCTTTTCTTTTCTTTTCTTTTCTTTTCTTTTCTTTTCTTTTCTTTTCTTTTCTTTTCTTTTCTTTTCTTTTTTTTTTTAATTTGCCAGAGGGTACATATACTCACCAGGTGTGTCTTTGGGAGGGAGGGCTGTCACTGGTGCTGGATGACTTGCAGTAGGATTCAGTGAGGTCCCAAGAGGTTGATATCCCTATTGTATGGTCACTTCCAAGTTTACAGCTTCTCCTGGCTGGCTCGCCGCAGTGTGTTATGGGGGCTTCTGTGATGATAGTCAACTTCTTGGCGTTTCAAAGAATTGAACAAAACACGCCAATAGTGAAAGGAAAAGATAGTTTATTAAGTAAAAGCAAAAGTGCACTCCTGAGAGGTAGGAGCAGGCCCAAGCAGACAGAGAAAGAGTGGCTCAAAAGACCCCCCACCCCCACTCATCTTTTAAGCCAGAAACATCCAGGCTAGTCCTCAGGCCCACAGGTCCTGGGTTCTCCTTCTGACCTTCTCTTCCACTTTTAAGGACCACTGTGATCACATTGTATCCCCTCCCTCATAATCCAGGATAATCTCCCTATTTTAAAGCCAGCTGATTAGCAACTTGAATCCCACTTGCAAACTGAATTCCCCTTTGCATGTAGCCTACCGTCATCACAGATTCCAGGGATTAGGGTATAGACATCTTGGAGGAAGGGCGGGAGCATCGGTCTGCCTGCCACAGGTACCATTATTTTTCTTTCCTTTCTCTCTCTCATTTTATTTGGCAATTTAGTCAGGAAAATCATATTCCCAGATCTGCAGAGGCTCTTCGTCTAACTCAGTGCTTGAATTTTATTAAGCATATAATTGACCTCACCTAACAATGGGAACTTGAGACCCAGTAGGGTGTGCTCAGACAGATTTGGGCAGGGGGAGGTGGTCGTTTAGGGGTGGGGAAAAGAGAGAATACCAGGAAATGAGGCTTCTGGGAGGGAGCCACAGAGCGTGTCCCACTCTGCCATTCTGCCAAGGACATGGAGAGTGAGTGACACTGGATAGGTGCTTCATCAATGTTGTCTGGGTGGATGGACGGACCAGGGGCTGGTGACCATTACCCGGTCGTATGAGACCTGTAATTGTGTCTGTTCTCCCCACCTGAGCATCCACGTTTTCTGCCCTTTGTCTCCTGTGACCTGAGAATGGCACTGTAGGTAAGTGAGGAAACCTGACCTTGCTAGTTCATGAATTCACCATGTATTCTAGAGGGTTACCATTTTCACAGACAGATGAGAGCAACGCCGGGGCCTCAAAGAACTGGCTCATTCTCTAAAGAGTTCTTGGTGCTAAATCCGCCAACGAAGCAGTTTATTTAGTGTGTGATTTAGTGCATTTAGTGTATGCCAACTCGTGCTCTTTTTTAATAAATGATTTATTTAATTTTATTTATTATTATTTAATTTGCTACAGGGCACATGCACTCAACAGAGAGAAAGTAAGAAAGCAAGCCACCAAGTCCGGGCCTCAAACCATGGTCAGATATGTGGGAGTCCAGCACCTTAACCACCATGCTACCTGTTGGCCCCCAACTCATATTTTTATTATTTTTTTAAGGTTTATTTCTTCCACACACACAAAAAAATAAGAGGCATCCCTAACATAAGCTTCATGCTGCAATCCACCCCAGGCCTCAGCCAGTCAAAATCATGGGTATACACGTGTGTACCCAGCATGTACAGAGAGCCCTTGGGACATGAACTCAGGACTTTCCATCGCAGTGTTGTGTTTCTGCTGTGCCAACAGCTGACCCTCCATCTAGCATTATTGACAGAGTCAATGCTCCTTGCATTTCTCCCAGAGTGTAATTAGCGGTTTTGTGACCAGCCAAAGGTAGAAGGGCCTACCCAGGAAAGAAGCAGGATTAGGGTGGTGGATGGAAGTCAGGTCTCACACCAGCATCTGACATGAAAGGTAACCTCTGGTTCCAAGGTCTAATGGATGCCGCTTCTTGCTCCTTCAGCCCTAGAGTAGGTGAGAAGCTAGATATGAGGTGTGGGATACTGGGAACACAGGTGGGGTTATGTCTGACGCCTTTCATCAGGAAGGAACAGGAATGTCAATGACTCCGGAGAAGTGATGGAAATAGAAACACATGGTATTGTTTGCTTCCTTCTTTTTTGTTTTTAATTTTGCTATAGAGTGCGTGCACTTACCAGACAGAGAGAGAGGGAGAGCACCCCTTTCTCCAGAGGAGATGGTCACCCTGCAATCCCTTCTCCTCCATTCTCCTCTTGGGATTTTGGGCACACATGCCCAGGGTGTTTTTCAAGGCACTGGGTCTGGGACTTGAATCGCACAGTTGGCTATGGGGGAATCCAGCTGCTTCAAGTACCATGCCACTGACTAGTGCTGCATTTTTCTTTTCTTTTCTTTCTTTCTTTCTTCTTAAAAAAAAAGAAAGAAAAAATCTTGCCCGGTGACCAAGAGAATATACTCTAAATCCACACGCCCCTCCCGATTCCCCGAACCAGTCCCTAAATGTAGCCACTGTTCGATGACTCTGACCATCTTCTGGGCTCTCTTTCTCTGACTGTTCCACCAGGAGATTGATGGCAACGCTCTGTTGCTGTTAAAGAGTGACATGGTCATGAAGTACCTGGGCCTGAAGCTGGGACCCGCCCTGAAACTCTGCCACCACATTGATAAACTGAAACAAGCCAAGTTCTGAAGCTTTTCTCAAGAAAACTTCAAGACCACAAATCTCAAGATTATCTCTGCCTTACCAACACCCAGCCAACATCACAAAACAGATTCTCCTCTTCAAATGAATAGCCACAAAGACTCGGTCTTTTTATCAAACTTGGACATCTTTGCCTTCTTACAAATTCCACATGGCCATTTTTGAAGGGATAGTCTGTGTTAATAATTTGCCAAAAAAATTACAAAAGCCTATTATTTTGAACATCCTTGATATGTTGGTTCCTTTTACAGTGGGTAATATTTGTCTAATAGGAGAGTAGGAGAGCTGAGTACTGTGCCCAAGGAGGGCTTCAAAGGACGTGAGAAAGGCCTCTGTCCCCGCAGGCTCTTGCAGCACCACCTGCCTCCAGCTCTGACCTGGGGTCCTACCAGCGTAAGCCTTGCCTGAATCAGCTCTGGAAGCTGTCTTCTAAGGATGACTTGCTTCACCTTGCACTATCTGAAAAACTTGAATTCTTTTACTTTCTGGGGGGGAAAAAAGAAAAAAAAAATGGTCTTTTCTATTCCTAGTTATCTGAAGTATTGTGTTTCCCCACTAGAGGGCAGACTGCTAATGAAATTTCATGGCCCTCACTGACAGCAGTAGCGAGAGTATTCAGTACTTGGAGGATGGGTTAGGATTTCTGTAAACAAGCTCTAACCTGCACAGAAATGGAGAATTTATTCCACAGTCAGCACCACAGATTGCAACTTGGGAAGAAAATCGTTATCTGGAGAATTCTAGTACATATCCAATCATCATCGACTGACTGACTGATACACAAGTAGCAAAGGCAAGAACTTGGAAGCACGTTCTTTCCAGATGGGGCTTTGGAGTCTCTTCCCTTCCAGGGTCCTTACTGAGGTGTTGATGTGTTGGCATGCTGAAGAATCTCAGTGACATTTAGCCATGGGTGTTTCTTTAAAAAAGAAAGATGTCTCAACTAAGCTTTGAAATGGGAGAGTGTTGATTTCTGGTTACATTACATTATGTAGTTGTATCTGTGGCTAATTTTTCTAGTCCTCAACAAATACACAGACATGTTATTATTGGGTTTAATTCAATTTACAAATGGGTTTTCCTTCCTCACCGTGGAGTAATAGAAAAAAATTGATTTTCTACCCCTCTGCAGCTGTGCCCAGAGAAGGACAATGAATCCGTAATCTAGTAGGCAGAAGGTAACCTCTTCCCTGCCATTCATTTATCCTCCTCCCTTCACTCTCCCTTTCTCTTTTTTCTGCCTCTTTCTTCTTAAACAGGAAGCATACCCCAGAACAAATTGACCTTTGCCATGGGCATATTCTCTTCCATACAAGAACAGGTACAGTGTTGGCGATGAGGAGATGAATGCTAGACTTTGTAGTCCTTGGGAGGATGAGGGTCAAGAACAATTAGAAGAGGCTTGGCCTCCCAAGCAGGGACTTCACCTGGTGGTGGAGCAGGGTGGGATCTCAGCTCCCACTCCTTCACTAACTGTGCTTATACAGAACATGACCTGTAAAACCTCGAGGGTAGCCCCGGGAAGGTTTGCAAAATCCTCTTAGGCACCCTGATAGTGGCTGAACTTGTCATATGACAAAGAAGGGGAGAAAGGGCATATCCTACACTTACCCACTGGATTGAGCTTGAGTTATCAGGTCGTGCAAGAGCATCTTGCCTGTTGGTTTCAGCACGTGACAAAACTACTTTGAACCAGGCTTGGGGTCAGAGTCTTCAAGAATTTAAATGAGTACGGGAACCAGCAGTTAGCGTAATGGCTATGTCGCTGGACTCCCACGTGGTCAACCGCGGTTCGTGTTCTGGACCCGGTGGCTTAAAACTCACGCCAGGCGCGTGTGCGTGTGTGCCCAAGATCCCAAGAGGAGAATGGAGGAGAAGGGATTGTGGTGTGACAATCCTCCCTGGGGGGTGATTTCTTGCTTTCTGTCTCTCTGCCTCTCTGTCTGTCTGGCGAGCGCATACGCCCTATAGCAAAGACCTCTCCAAAAAAAAAAAAAAATTTAAATGAGTAAACAGGCTCTGCCCCTCGTTTATTGTAAGTGCTTTCTTCTGGTCTGAAGGAGTTCAATGATGTCCCTCAAAAAAGCCATGGACAGCTTATATATTCAGAACCGCCAGGGTGGAAACAGTGGGACCCAGAAACTCCCACAACTACCCAGGGTTTCACGCCATTGTCTTTGCCCAGTCCTCTGATACTTGCGGTGGTCTCGTCCTCGATAGACCCCCTGTTCAATGACTTTCAAAACCGCCTACCCGCCCCCAGCAGTGCCTTCCTTACTACACACATGAACGTGGTGCCTCCAAATGAAGATCAGCCCCAAAACGTGTCAGAGACTCCAACTAGTTCTCAGAGGAGAGGTGCGTTCTCACAAACGTTTAGGAGAAAACTGGGTTCATGTTCACGTGCAGCAGTTCGGACAGAGGTGCCATCTCAGTTCGCATTACATCTGAAGTGGGACAGATTGCCGAAGCCATGATATTTAAGGTTCGACTTTTTACAACTCGTTACTCTTAAAATGAACACTGCCACGTCAGAGAATAACCCGGGGAGAAAATTCTCCCTTCCCTGTTTCTGCACTGAGATGCAATTAGCCGACCCAAAGATTGTAGCAATGCTGCAATTATAATGAATTTTCACCCCCTTCAAAAGTTGTATCAAACCAGGCAGCTAAACAGCTTGGTAAACGTAAAACACACTGGGCCATTTCCACTAAACAGACCTTAATGGGTCAGGCCAGGTACGTCACTCTCGCCCAGATGAGAACCTAGTGGGACGCCTCGCGCGTGTACAAACCCAGCACTTGTTATTGCAGGGCAGCAGCTTTGCTTCAGGTTGTAGTGAATAATGAAATCATTTTGCATAATTCCAAAATTGTGTGTGTGTGTGTGTGTGTGTGTTCGTTCGTGTTCCAAACATTTCCAATTATACTTGTCTGTTAAACACTTGGAGAAAAAAATCAGGAGACAATTCTATCGCCTGAGGCATTTTAATATTTTATGAAGCACATTATTCCCTCTGTGAAGACTCTAGATAGAAGATGTAAGTTTTGTCTGTGTGTGTGTGTGTGTGTGTGTGTGTGCGTGCACGTGCGGATGTGCACACATACACTTCCTTCACTGCAGTTGGAAGAGCCTTAAGGATGTGGTTGGGAGTGTATCAGCTGCTGCATTTGTTTGCCTTAAATTGTCTGGACTCTGTCACACAGAGGGTGAATCCCTCTAGTTTTCCTACTGGCTGTTATCACCAGTTGTCCCCTCTTAGACCGGCAGGGTGTGCCCTGGAGGCAGCTGGAAGAGCTGGGTAGTTCTGGCTTCTGGGCCTGCTCCCCACCCCCACCCCCGCGGCCTGCCGCCATGGGTGATATGGGCAGGGGCCTGGCTTTGGAGCCCACGGCAGGAAACAGGCCTCAAGGCCTCCAAGGTGCCTGCCACAGAGCCACTATGCTCCCACCATTTCCCTTCAGCAGGCTGCCATG